ATTTATTGTATGCTGTTCCAGTTTGACTGCTAGGAGTGTAAACCTATTTGTATGGTTTTTCCTATTCATTTGTTTACAGCATTCGTATATTTGAGAGCATTCATATGCTTCTCCGGTTCAGTGGATTGGTGTGTAGAGTAGCTCCCTGTGTCTCTGGAAGGGGAAGATCTTCTAAACGGCGGTTTAACCCTTTTATGCCTGGGGGTGCACTGACAACCATGGTTATCAGAAATTATATATATATTTCAACAGGTGAAAAAAATACGTGAACTTAGGATGGAGGCTTAGAGGGGCCAGAAGGTGGTCCATTATGTATAATGGACCACCTTCTGGCCCCTCTAAGCCTCCATCCTAAGTTCACGTTCTCCATCCTGCAGTTACATGCAGGGGAGGGCTGGCAGCCTTAGGCCAGGGGGGCAAAACCAGTCAAGTGGCCCATTGCACCACCAAATCAGTGCAATGGTGCCCACCTTTTCCTGGTTTTATAACGGATATTGATGTTATGCTAATCAGTAGCTCTTTGCCATACCCGCTCCTTCACGGCTCTGACTTTCAATGTTGTCAGAGCGCAGGCTGAGAATCTCTGAGCCTGTGCTCTGACTCACTAACTGAGCATCGAAACCATGAGGGAGAGGCTATAATCTGACTGCACCTATTGCTGGTGCACACCAGTGGACCACCAACAAATCGTTTAAATTGAATAGGCTGGTGTCCCCAACTTGTGAGCTGTGTTGTCCGCGGGGCGCCTCTATTGTGATGGCACCCTGCGTGACCGCACAGCGTGCGCACCCCAACGGCTGGCCCTGCTGACACACACTGATGTTACTACTTAGAAATCCCTCAATATTAATACAGACATCAGAGTAAACACCAATAAACTGTGGAAACAGAGCTGATCCCCCCCAAAATTTATAAAGATTTGCTTACTGGATTTGTTGTAAGATTAAATCATGCCTCCTCCTCTCTCTCTCCCATGTGCTGCTCTGTAGGCTGGGAGGAAGTGAAGAGTAATCACAATCTCCCAGCACAGCGGCACCTGTGGCTGCATGGGGAACAGCTGTATTTGCCTCCCCCCATGTGACATCACAATGCCCCACCTATATGAGCTGGCATACGAACTAACGCCAGTGCTGCCACAGTGTATGTTTACATTAAACAGCCTGCAGGGACCGGCTATAGACACCAGAACCACTTCATTAAGCTGCAGTCGTTCTGGGGACTATAGTGTCCCTTTAATGTGAGGTAAATTATAGATTAGTGTCACTAATAATATACTAGATTGCCTACTTACAACAAGATGAGGATGATGATGGGCTGCAGTTTGGCTCCACTGGTCTGGTGTAGAACAGGATCTCTGGAGGCTGTTTGCAACTGTAGTCACAAAATTCAATGTTCTGGGAGAACTGGAAGCAGCTCCATTTTTGGAGGGCCCCTTACACAGCTCAAGTTCTGGGCCCCAGGGCCTGACGGTGAGTATGCCCACAAGGCCCACTCATAAGTCCACTTATATGTTCCACCCACCCATGAGCTCGCTCACAGGGAGTGGAGTCTGTAGAGGATGTGTTATGTGTTATTGTAGAGGATATAATATGTATGCTTATGGTATGTAGTGTATAGGGATACCAGTTTGTGCAGGTGATGCAGTGTGTTTGTGTCTAGTGGAAGCAGTGTTTATTTGTGTATAAGGGATGTATTGTGTGTTTCTGGTTGTGTGTAAGGGATGCATTGCGTGAATCTGTGTTTGTATGCATAAGGGATGCAAGGTGTGTGTCTGTAAGTGTGTGCATTGAGTGTGTGTTAGAGATGCATTGTGTTTCTGTGTGTATGTTAGAAAAGCAGTGTGTGTGTGAGGGTTTGCATTGTGTGTTTCTGTGTATGTGTGCAAAGGATGCATTGTCTTTGTGTGTAAGGGTTGCATTTGTGTGTGTAATGGATGCATTGTGTGTTACTCTGTGTGTAAGGGAAGCATGTTGTGTTTGTGTGCAGGGCCGGTGCAAGGATTTTTGCCGCCCTAGGCAAAATAAAGATTTGCCGCCCCCTCCGGAACATCGCAATGCCCCACCCATATGAACTAATGCCAGTGCTGCACACAGTGTGTGTTTACATTAAAAAGCCTGCAGGGACAAACTATAGACACCAGAACAACTTTATTAAGCTGCGGTGGTTCTGGGGACTATAGTGTCCATTTAATGTGAGGTAAATTAGAGATTAGTGTCACTAATAATATACTAGATTGCCTACTTACAATCAGATGAGGATGGTGATGGGCTCTGGCTGCAGTCTGGCTCCACTGGTCTGGTGTAGAACAGGATCTCTGGAGGCTGTTTGTAACTGTGGTCACAAAATTCAATGTTCTGGGAGAACGGGAAGCAGCTCCATTTTTGGGGGCCTCTTACATAGCTCAAGGTCTGGGCCCCAGGGCCTGACGGTGAGTATGCCTATAAAGCCCACCCATAAGGCCACCTACATGTTCCACCCATGAACTCACAGGGAGTAGAGTGTGTAAGGGATGTGTTATGTGTTATGTGTTACTGTAGAGGATCTAATGTGTGTGCTTACGGAATGTAGTGTATAGGGATACCAGTTTGTGTAGGTGATGCAGTGTTGTTTGTGTAAGGGATAGAAAGCAGTGAGTGTTTGTGGGATGAGGGATGTATTGTGTGTTTCTTGTTGTGTGTTAGGGATGCATTGTGTGAATCTGTGTTTGTATGCATAAGGGATGCAAAGTATGTTTCTGTGTATGTAAGGGATGCAGTGTGTGTGTCTGTAAGGGGTGTGCTGAGTGTGTGTAAGAGATGCATTGTGTTTCTATGTGTGTGTGTGTAAGAGAAACAGTGTGTGTTTGCATGTGTGTGTAAGGGATGCATTGTGTGTGTTCTGTGTATATGTGCAAAGGATGCATTGTCTTTATGTGTAAGGGTTGCATTGTGTGTTTCTCTGTGTGTAAGGGAAGCATGTTGTGTTTCTGTGTGTATAGGGATGCATTGTGTGTGTTTGTGTGCGCGTGTGGTGTGAAAGAGCTCCCTGTCCCCCTGTCCTATAGAGCTCTCCCTTCCATTCCTTAGAGATCTCCCCTGCCCCTTAGTGGTCTCTACTCTCCCACCCACCTCCCTTAGTGGTCTCCTTTTCTCCCTGACTTTCCACTAGTAGTCTCTCCTCTCCCCCCACCCTCCCCTATCCTCCACCCCCCTCCCTTAGCGGTCTCTCCACTGCCCCCTCCCTCCTTTAGTGGTCTCTCCCTCCCCTACTTTCTCATCTCCCACCCCTCGTGTTCTCCTCTTCTTCTCCCCCGTGTTTTCCTCTTATTCCCCCCCTCCCTGTGTTCTCCGCTTCTTCTCCCCCCTGTAATCTTGTCTTCTTCTCCCCTCCCCCCGTAATCTTCTCCCCTCCCCCCTGTAATCGCTTCTTCTCCCCCGTAATCTTCTCTTCTTCTCCCCCCATAATCTTCTCTTCTCCCCCTCCCATCAATCTTTCCCCAAAGATCAATCATCTCCTCCCATCAATCAATATCTCCCTCCTCCCATCACTTCAACTCAACCCTCCTCCCATCAATCATCTCCCCCCCTCCCTCCTATAGTCTATAGTGTTCCCCTAATGTACTGTTCATGCACTGTTCAAATAAGATACAAATTGTCTAGCATCGCCAGCTTTACGGCTGGATTCTCATAGCACAGTAAGGTTTTACTCTACTTACTGAACAGCAACATCCCCATACACTTTAATGGAGAAATTGCTGATCACTAATCATATCCCCCATGTATCAAACATAACATATATGATTTGCCATCATATTAAGATGTATGACCCATACCTGTGAACATTTGAAATAGACAAAGACAGGTAGTTTAATTTTAGGAGTGTGAGTGGGGGGTTGGACACAGGGCCGTCTTTAATAACGAATGGACCCTGGGCAAGTGTTTGCTTGGGCCCCCTGTGCCCTGCCGCTCTCGCCCCTCATTCCCTGGTATGCAATCACGGCATCCATCCCAACGCAGTGGCGGTACTAAAGTAGAATGAATTTTATTGGGACCCCCAATTGCAAGGTTGGACTAAAGGTAGAACCCCATCTGTCGTGCAACTCCAACAATGCTTTGACAGCTGGGACTCACCAATTTCCCATGCTTGCAGGGTTGTATTTAGCACTGAGCCATGTTAGTATGTTTGAATGTAAGCATGTGTTTGTATGGAGTATGTTTGTGTGAATGTGTTTGTATGTGGTACTGGAGTTTGAATGCAAGTGTGCATTTATGTGTAGTGTTTGTTTTTGAATGTGGGAGTGTGCTTGTATGTAGTGTTGATGTTTCAATGCAGGAGTGTGTTTTATATGTAGTGTTGAAGTTTGAATGGAGGGGTGTATTTGTATTTAAAGTTGCGGCTCAGATGCACAGGTACACACTCTGACGCACAAGCAGATACACACACTGACTACATACAGATAAACAGGCACATACACTGACAGACACACTGACACAGGTACATATATTGACACACACACAGACACATACACTGGTAGACGCACTGACAGACATACTGACACAGGCACATATACAGACATACTGACACACAGACACATATACCGACATACTGACACACACACACAGACACATACACTGATCAACATACTGACACACATACACTGACAGAAATACTGACACCCACACACTGACAGATATACTGACACCCACACACTGACAGATATACTGACACCCACACACAGGCACATACACTGACACACACAGACTGATATACTGACACACACACACACACAGACATACACTGGCACATACACAGATATACTGACACATGTACACATGCACCCAATAGACATACTGACGACTGACAGACATACTGACACATACACATACCTGACACACACAGATATACACACACACACATATATAACACTGACACACAGACAGACAGACATATCTGACACACACACACAGACATACTGACACACACACAGACATGCTGACACACACACATACACCAACACACATACACTAACACACACATACACTAACACACACACACAAACACACACACACAAACACACACACACACACACACACACACACACACACACACACACACACACACACACACACACACACACACACACACACACACACACATACACTAACACACAAACACACACACTAACACACATAAACACACACATACATACACTAACACACACATACACTAACACACAAACACATACACACTAACACACACAAACACACACATACATACACTAACACACACATACACTAACACACAAACACTAACACACACATACACTAACACACAAACACTAACACACACATACACACACACACAAACAAACACACACATACACACACACACAAACACATACACTAACACACAAACACACACACACTAACACACACATACACATACACTAACACACACATACACACAAACACACATATTTTTTTTTTAAATGTAATCCCCCCAGCCTCCTTACCTTTTGGAGTGCTGGGGGGATTCCCTGGGGTCCAGTGGTGCTGCTGGGCTCCTGGGCGGGTGGGCGGTCGGGCAGGAAGGGTGCTCCCTCGCGCGCCTGCCTTCCTGCCCGACCGGCCACCCGCCCGCCGGGGTCAGCGGGGCCCACAGGGCAGGTGCCTCGGGCCCCCCGCGTTAAAGACGGCCCTGGTTGGACAGGGCAGGGCTGTTCTGAAACCCTTTAGTAGACTTGCTAATAACAATTTATGCAGCTAAAATGTAATTTAGAACAAGAATAATGTATCTTATTTGGAGAGACTGATTTCTAAACACATGTGTTGTTGTTTAAAGACATATTACTGGGTGTAAGTATTATTATTATTATATTATATTTATATATGATATATTATATTATTATTTAAATTATTATTGCTCTGGAGCTCTATTATACACTCAGACACACCAACCATATAGTGCCATCTTACCAACATAAAGCTTCCCCCCCCCCCCCTGGGCAAAACAGTGCATTTGGGCCCTGCTTACACAATCCCTTACAGGAATAAACTTGTAAATTATTAATAAAATTAAGCTTATTGGTACCTCCATGAAATGCAATACATTCATACAATTCAAACACACGGCCTGCTGAATACACACAAAATGCAGAATGCAAACAGGTGGCCGTAAACACACACAGGCTGCTGAATACATACACATAGACTGCTGAGAACACACACACACAGACTGCTGAATGTATACACACAGACACCTGAATGCATACCCAAACTGCTGAACATACACACACGGACTGCTGAATACGCACATACAGAATGCAGAATACACACATACAGAATGCAGAATACACACAGGCTGCTGAATACATACACACAGACTGCTGAATACCAGTGTTATCTTAACAACATTATTGGCCCCCAGGCAAAGCAATGCACTTGGGCCCTGCCTACACAACCCCTTACAGGAATAAAAATGTAAATTATCGATAAAATTAAGCTTATATTTATTGGTACTTCCAATAAATGCAATACATTCATACAATACAAACACATAGACTGCTGAGTACACACACATGGACTGCTGAATACACACCTAGAATGCAGAATACACACAGAATGCAAAAAACAAATAGGCTGCCGTAAACACACACAAGCCGCTGAATACATACACATAGACTGCTGAGTACACACACACAGACTGCTGAATGTATACACACAGACACCTGAATGCATACACAAACTGCTGAACACACACACACTGACTGTTCGATACACACAGGCTGCAGAATGCACACACAGGCTGCTGAATACATACACACATACTGCTGAATACACACACAGACTGCTGAGTACACACACACGCATACTGCTAAATGCAAACACAGACTGCCTAATACACACATACAGACTGCTGAATACATGCACACAGACTGCTGAATACATGCACACAGACTGCAGAATATATGCACAGACTGCTAAATACACACACACAAATACTGCTGAATACACACACACTGACTGCAGAACACAAACACACAGACTGCTGAATGCACACAGATAGACAGCAGTCAGGGATGCAGTGTGTGTTTGTATGAGGGGTGCAGTGTTTGTGTATGTGAGGAATGCAGTGTGTGGGGGGGGTCTTGTGCGTATGTGAGGGGTGCAGTATGTGTGTGTGAGACAAGCGCAGTGTGTGTTTGTGAGGTGTGCAGTGTGTGTGATGGGTTCAGTGCGTGTGAGGGGTCCTGTGTATGTAAAAGGTGGTGTAGGTGTGAGAGGTGATGTGTGTGAAGGGTGCTGTGTGTATTTAAGGGTTGCAGTGTGTGCATGTGATGGGTGCAGTGTGTGTGAGGTGTGCTGTGTACGTGTGAGGGGTGCTGTGTATGCGTGTCTGTCTGTCTGTATGTTTGTGTGTGTTTGTCTGTATGTCTGTGTCTTTGTATGCATGTGTGTCGTGTGTGTCGTGTGTGTATGTGTGTATGTGTCTGTGTGTTCGTCTGTGTGTATGTATGTGTCTCTGTATGTATGTGTCTGTCTGTGTGTATGTAAGTGTGTGTGTGTCTCTATGTGTGTATGCATGTGTCTCTCTATGTATGTATGTATGTGAATGTGTGTATATTTGTGTATGTGTGTATGTATGTGTGTCTGTATGTATGTGTCTGTGTGTGTGTCTGTCGGGGGAGCGGGGGTGGCATGGATCAGTTCTGCAACAGGGCACCCTGCTCTGTGTGTATGTGAGGGGTGCTGTGTGTGTGAGAGAGGTGATATGTGTGTGTCAGGGGTGCTGTGTATGTGTGTGAGGGGTGCAATGTGTGCATGGCATAGGTGCTGTGTGTGTGTGTGTGTGTGAGGGGGGTGCATTGGGATAAGGGATTTTTAGTATTTTATATTTAAAATTAATTCATTTTGTAAAAGCCTAATGTCTCCCCCGGCATCGCCCCTTCTTAGTACCTTTGGTGAAGGAGGGGGGACAATGCCAGTCCTGGTGGTCCGGTGGTTCTTAGAGGGAGGGAACAGGGAGGCAGTTTTTCCCGCGAGCATGCTGTGTCGGAGTGTTGCAGCGGCAATGCTCAGACACAACATTCTGCTTGCGGGAGGAGTGAAGACAGCCAGGGCAGTCTTTAAAATTGATTGGACCCTGGGCAAAGCATTTGCTTGGGCCCCCTGGACCCTGTCTCCCCTCCCCAGGCGTGCAATCACGTTCTCCACCCCAACGCAGTGGCGGACCTAAAGTAGAGAGGTGCAAGAATTATTTTGGGCCTCCCTATCGCACGGGTGATTAAAAGGTAGATCCCCATCTGTCGTGCAACTCCAGCAATGCATTGACAGCTGGGGCTCTACTGTTTACCCATGTTTGATGGTTTGTATTTAGCACTAAGCTGTTTTTATGTGTTTGAATGTAAACAGGTTTTTGTATGGAATATGTCTGTATGTGGTGTTAGCATACTTGCAAGCATGTATTTATGTGTAGTGTTGGTTTTTGAATGCAGGGGTGTGTTTACATATAATTTTGGTGTGTAACACAGACGTGTATTTGTATGGAGTGTTGGAGTTTGAATGCAGTGGTGTATTTGTATGTAGTGTTAGTGTGAATTTAGTGTTAGTGTGAATGCTGAGATGAATGCACATATACACACAAATATATATATATATATATATATATATATATATACACACACACACACTGAAACACATGCAGATACACAGCTAGACACACTGGTACACATGTAGATACACCGAAACACACAAAGACAGCATACATATACACATTGACAGACATACAGACACACAGATACACACACAGATATACAGACACATATCGAGATTGATAAACTGACAGACATACTTACACAGACACATAAACTGACAGACATAGTGACACATACATACTGACATATGGACACAGATACATACACTGACAGACATGCTGACACACACACACATACTGAGACATACTGACATACAGACACACACACAGAACTACTGACAGACATACTGACACACACACAGACATACTGGCACACACACACAGACCTACTGACAGACACATATTGACACACACATAGACAGACATAGTGGCACACACACACAGACATACTGACATACACCGAGATACTGACACACACACAGACACAGACATACTGACACACACACACAGACCTACTAACAGACACACACACAAACACACAGACCTACCGACACACACATATGCAAACTTTACACTTTAAAGCCCCCCTCCAGTTTCCTACCTTCCATGGGGTCCAGTGTGCTGGCTTGGGTGGTTGGGAGTTGGGGACTGTTTCTCTTTGCTCAGTCCCCCTCCTCGCTGCCTCCTGGCTCAGCCTCCCTCTTGCGCAGCTCATCATCTCTGAGGGAGGAAGTAACTTGCGGACGTCACTTCCTCCCAGGCTGCCGTTACGCAAGAGGCCCGGTCGCGCTGTTAAATGGCCACAGCACCCGACCGTGCCTCTGCTGAAACATGCTCACCGGGTGGCCTTAAGTGTATTGGCCACCTGGTGAGCCCACTTAGAGTACGGGCCCCGGTGCAGCTATGGGGGAGGACGGGGGGAATGTTTTTTTTATGCAGGCTATAGGCAGCAGGGCCACGGGGCAGCTGCTTTGGGCCCACCAGGAATAACTGCCCCATTTGCCCCGTGTTAAAGACGGCCCTGGTGTTGTTGCATATCTCACATCCTATGTTGCCATCTGCCGAGTCACCATGAGGCATTTAGGGGCTTGTGCTTACCTCTCTGACTGCACTTGGCAAATAAACAGCATAAAATATGTGCTGCTATGTTACTCAACCTACATTAGTCATTTTATTATTATTCATAAAGCACTAGCAAGCTAAGGTGCTCTAGTGGTCCAGGGTGTCCCTTTAAGTTAAGCACATTTAGCCTAACAACACTTTTTACCAGTCCTGTCCTACTTTATTCTTTGGTACTCAAGTATCCATTATTGGGACACAGAAGACAAGCTACAAGCAATTGCAGCTCAAATTTGTCATTAAATTCACTTGCTCTGTGCAAAACAGGCATACAGTATTTTCCCCATCAAATAACACTTCAACAGAGAACTGCACAAGGTATGTCCAGGGGTGCATCAATGTAATATACAATTTTTTCTCGAGCAGGACATGCTTGTCATTGGTGAAGACATAACACCTCTCCGGAGTCCACTTCTCCTGTTGTACTGCTCTGCCTTTAAATTACAGGTTTTTTTTTGTCCCAGACAAGCCTTGCATGTGTTTATACATTGAGGAAGCCATACAATTGTTACTGTGATGATGATACTTACTAGACTCACTGACACAAGAAGAAAATATGCCTTTAAGGCTATGTAAACGTCTTACCAACAACTAATCAAAATATTATTTGTCCCCAAAAGCTTCACTGGCATCACCTTTAGTATGTTGAATCT